CTTAAAGAGAAAAGAAACTAAATGCACATTCGTGAGGCGTTATGCAGTTGCAGGCCGATGAAAACGGTTACCAGAAAAACAGGTTAACGAATTAAAGATCAACTCATAAAATTAGGCACTAGTAGTATGATGATATAAATGTATATAAATAGAATATTTGTGAAAGACGTAATAGTAGAAAAAGAATATTTGAGTTAAGCAGTCGAAAATATTGTAAAAAAACAAATTGTAAATAATCCTACATTTAAAGAATTACAATTGTAAATAAAAAGAAGTTTGAAGTGTATTTCTCTTGAATAAAATATCCGCCATCCACTGATACGGACCGTATCTTAGAAAAAGGCGAAGTTTATAACATTATAAATTGTGAGGAACAAAAGTCGTACCTTGTTTTGACCTCACAGGACCTTCATCTCTGAGGGGGAGTGCTAGTGTAAGTTAGGTTAAGAGAGTTAGAGCGCTGGAATAAATTAGGTAGGATTAGGATTAAGTAAAGAGAAAGTAGAGTAAAGAGAAATCAAATCAGATTGAGAGTAATTAACTTAAGCCGAAGTTGAAGTCAAGTTTGTCAGTACTAGAAAAAGTTAGGGAGAACGTGTGGGTCGAGGAGTGAGTGAAGGAGCGGACAATTGAGTCTGGTTAGTGCGGTTACAATGACGGTAGTTATATATCTTTAGATTAAGAAAAGTTAACTTATATTTGAAGTAAAAAGAAAGAGGAGAACTCATCTTCAGTAGTTTACTAATCAAGCGCAACGAGAATTAAAATTAGAATTTTGAAATCAGAGATTAAATAGAAACAAATAAACGATCATTTGAATTCAAGAATTCTCATAGAATTTGTTAAATGGTATTTAAAATTATAAAGCAAAGAAATAGAAACAATTTTAAATCCGCCTAGAAATCATAAAAGAAAAATAAATAACACATACAAAGAAAATTCTTGTGAAGCAAGCCTGGAGCAGCTGAGCTCACCCTAGCACCAGGTATGCGCATTAGCGCTCACAAATGGGGCCCGACCAGGAACTTCTCCAGCGACAACGAATAAGAAAATATTTCTGGAAAAAAGGAAAAATAAGTTTAACAGAAAAACAGATTTTGAAAAAGTAGTCAGTTCAAGGAACAAGAAAGGTATAGTGAAATATGTAAAAGATATAGCTAGAGGAAGAGGAAAAAATTTTCTTAAAGAAAAAAAATTAATAGAAAATAAATAAAATTACAAATCGATGATTGGGAAAAACCAAAAAGAAATTGTTTGCTCTTATCAGCGTTTTTAAAACGAAAAAATAAATAACTAGAGAAATAAAAAAATCTCGCGACAGGTACTCGCATTATATTTTTTGCTACGGCCAAACGAAACCCGTGCATTTGATAACCCATATGGAATAATGTAAATGCAACTACCGCAAGCTATTCAGTCAAAAACCGTTGCACTCAGACGAAAACACAAAAACAAACCGCGATGGATTGATTGAAACAGCTACGGCGACAAAGATCATAACAGAGAGCAATAGCGCGAGAGTAGCAACCGGGGTGAAGTTTTAGACAATCAACGAGTGAAGTTCAAAGGAAGACATAGAAAAAAATTAATAAAAATATTGGACGAATAACTACAGAAAATTTATGAAAATTTTTTCACTTTGTGCAAGTAAATTTTTCTTATTTAGTGAAAAGTTACTGTAAAAGAAAAACGAGTTATAGGTAAACAAATTCTTATCAAAATAAAAGTTCAACGTGAACATTGAATCCCAAAATTAAAGTTGATAAAAAATATCGCATCCAATAACTGCAAAAGGTTTATGGAAAAGTGCAAGTAAAGTAAACAAAAAAAAAAAAAGAAAAAAAGATATCATAAATCTCAGAAAATTCCAGAAGCGTCAGAACAATCTATCAGTCTAAAGCACCTTGTTTGTGTAAACTTGAAGCCTTATGTTGACATTATTATTATGTTGACATTGCTAAAACAAAAAAAGATAATAATCAAAAGCATCAATGTGATTACTTCAATCAAGATGAATTTAAGAGAAAAGAAAAAACTAATTTACCACTTTTATTAGTTTATAAATTACGCACACCCACCTGAACGCAAGCAACAATTGAAATTAGAGCTTCTTACTTAGTGAAAAGTTTATTAAAAGAACAAAAACCTCGAAACCGGGAAAAAACAATTTCAGATTGAAATTCAGAAATTCATCCTAAATCAAAAACTATATAAACTTACAAAAACTTACAAAAACTATATAAACTTACAAAAACAAAAAAAGCAAAAAAAGTGGTAACAGTCAATTTGATATAGAAAATGAAAAGAATAAGAAGCGGTAATTTGACGATCGAAGGAGTACAAAAGTTTAAGACAAGATACAAACATTTTCCAAAAAAAAAGAAAATAATTCCCTAAGTGTAGAGGAGGAACTTCAAGAATTTCATGGTTTTAATGATCTAAACGAAAACACAATCCACCTGAGTAGCCGAAGGCGAGCAATCTCGACTAGCAAGTCATTGGTCGTGGGTTCGAATCTCAAGTACCGTAGAGTTTTTAATAAAAGCCGATAGATGCTAGTGCTTTTAAGAGTTTAGTCTTAGAATTTATTTCTCTGGCGAAATTAATAATAATAATAATAATAATAATAAAAAAGAGAACACAGTGAAAATTGCCGCTAATGTTGACGAAATTGTTCATAAACTTAGTGATATTAACAATCTGAAGGTTAATTTCACCGAGAAAGTAATCGATAGTGGGCGGAGCAATAATAACAGGAGCATCAGTAGGGACAGCAGCTACAACGTACCCATCGTCATCAGCCTTTAAAGCATTTGAAGCCAACCCATCCACCTTATGTCCCTGTGTCATTGAAGCCGTAATAACCACCCGAACGGTAGCCAACAGTAAAAGTGTGGGCATTACAACAGCAGCATTACATTCCATTTGTAATTCATCGAAGTCTTTTGCCTACTTCTTCTATTGCGGCTTTTGTCACTAACAAGGAAAGAAAACGTCAGCACCACCACCACCAACGAAACAACAGCAACAGATAAGGGAAAAAACGAAACCTTAAAATATAATTTTTTCCAATTCCAAGCACGTCTGTGACCGTTTAGCGACTTCAAGAAAAATATAAAAAAAAAGAAATAAAAGATCAGCCATACAAAATATATGGTAAATAAATCTGTACAAACAAAGAAGTTCATATAAACAATTTACCCGATATGACTATATCTCGGAGGTAACAAACCAATAATAGAATGAAAATATATGCGAGGAACACAGGCAAATCTAAAATATATCAAGTATGCTACTTAGCACATGAATGGATTTAACCTCATTAAATATCATTATAGGTTTCTTAGCGCCGAAGCAAATGAAATTGTGCTTTGCCATTTAAAGATTTAAGGAATTGAATGTCATTCTAATTCGGCCATTGCTTTAACAGTCAATTAGGCATCGTCTATATGACAAATTAATTAAGCAAGGGATTTAAAAATAACTTGAAAAAAAATATATAACTAGGGAAATAAATAAAAGGAAAAAAAATATAAAGAAAAAAAGTAAACAAAAAAAAGAAGAATTGTTCCCTCAATAACTTACGATCTTTATGCAATATATCATTCTGAAATTTTGAAATTTGTTGCAAATAACAATCATACAAATATATAGGCCATAAACCATTTAGAAAGTTTCACTGGCCAAAGAAACGAAATAAAGGATTATATATTCAAAGCGCCCATAGGGAAACTACGAACTATATTTTAGTCCCCTTGTCTTTTTAAAATCCGTCCCCTCGATATCATGACTTCAACGTTAGCTCGAGGCCTTGCATGCCTTGATGCGTCACACCGTGATGCCGGAAGAGCAGAAATTGAACGCATCTGTACGAATGCGCAACCCGATTATCTGTGGTGCATACGGGGCCGTGAATTCACACATTTGGCCGAACTCATGGAGCTCGCCAGCGATTTGGTGGCCATTCGGGCGGGCGGCGGGCAACACGGCACGTGAGTCCCTCATAGAAAGACGCCGAGAATTTTAGCCAGGCGCCGGATGGCTCGATCCGCCGAATAACAAGGCATGAGCATCGGGTTCAATGCCAGAAGAGAGGAGAATAAATACGGCGACGGCATGCAGACGATGTGCCCAGAACGAACACCGCCAGTTGCCCGAATCCACAGATCGTGCAATGCTGAATCTTCAATCGATGGGGCGTATAAACTATTACCTGCTGCCAACGCGGAGACTACCGCAGAGTCCACTACTAGCGATGGAATCCATACGGACCCCGAGATAAACCTGTCTCATGAACAATAGTGAATACATCATGCCCACAACGCGATCGACTACATACCCCAACAACCTTCGCATTGCAGTTTTAGCAACAATATTAAACAGCAGCAGCAACAGCAACAACAGCAAGTACCAGCAGAGGTCAGTACCCAACAATATGGTAGTCATAATAATAACATCACAAGAACTACAATGAATTCAGCAAAGGCAATATGCACAGCAATATGCTAGCAACAACTTCAACGACTGTTCATCGGTTGAACCAGGCCATCTGACGTCAGGTATGCCTCCAGCAATAATGGTCGTAGAAAATGGAACAGCAGGAAACAAAAAAGCCACTAGTAATGAAAGCAAAATTTCTTATGGAACAGAAGTTAAACAAATTCTTTTACATTTACCTATACCGAGCGGTATGAAGGGAAATATCAACAATAGTAGCAATCTGCTCTGCATAATCAACCACCACTGCAAGCGAAGTTTATACAGCTTGCGCTACCTTCACTATAGTAAGTTATTCTAAGAGAGTTAGAATCAAGTAAAGAGCACTTTAGTAAAGAGAAATTAGAATAGTTAGCTTAAGTCGAGGTTAAGACGGGTTCAGTTAAGTTAGAATAAATTAAGTTAGAGAGAGTTGATCGCGGAGTTAGTTAGGGAGTGGATGTGCTGGTTTGGTTGGTGCGGTTACAATAATGCTGGTGCTAGGACTTAAGAAAAATGTACTTACCTTGGATATAGAAAGAAAAATTGTAAAGGTCAACGAAGAAATATATTGGATATATTTTTTCACGAGAAATGACATTTCAAAGAAAAATAAAAATCTTGTGTGAATTCAACTTGAGAAAAACCCATTTAATCGGTGTAAATAAGTTACATCAAAAACTAAACAAATTTCCTGCGAGCAAAAAACCTGGAACCACTGAGCTACCCCAGCACCAGGTTTTGTGCAAAATTTGCCCTCACAACACTTACTCAGGACGTGTGTTTGGTAAATTGAATTAATTGATTTTAATTTCTATGCTCTTCGAAGGTGGTTGGTGGTTACTTCTTCAACGACCGCTTTGGTGGTCAACGAGTAATTTATTTGCTGCTTTTGGTTGCACTTAATTAACATTCCTAATGCCATATATAATATGGGAGGCCCCATATTTCAAAAACTACGCCATTCCACTCATAGCAATCGTTCGGTTAGTTAACGTAGCCTTTCAAGGCGTACATTTTGCCAGTATGATTAGCTTAACTAGCCAGGTAAGTGATTTGTAAAAGAAACAAGAAGATTTTGCTTGCACAATAGGAATTTTTTCTTTATAGAATCTTTGCACAACAGAGCGCACAAGTCTTTTCACTTTATTAACATCTGGCTCAGCGATGGGTGCTTTACTAACAGGCGTTTTAAGCTCATTTGTACTGGATTATTTTGATTGGTCTTGCGTGTTTCGCGTTGTAGGTTTCATGGGTATAGCGTGGGTAAGTAAACATTGTTCAGCATTGTTAAGGATTGTTAAGCATAAATAAAAAGTATTTTTGATAAAGTGTTACATGAAGAATCTTTGTTTTATTGAGTATTATAAGTAAAAAGTTCTACATATTGTATATATCTATAAGTCAATTTTTGTACTATATCATTATTATATGTTATTATTAAAATGTTCTCTTTTCTCGTTCTTTTACAAATTCTGTGATTCTGCTCTTCTTTTATCTATTTAATTCGTCGTTTCATAAACCGTGTCGAAGTTAATCAATCTTAACCAATCTTAAGCAATTTCAAAATTTAACAAAAATACGCCTTTTTAAGCATTCTTAAGCATAAATAAAATTATGTAAGTATTATTACATTAGATGAATATATCCACAATTTTATTAATACCATGTAGCAAATTACACTACATTGTTTTTTCTTTTCTTTTCAGATAATTAATAATGAAACAATTGTATATCTTTGGGATGGTGCAATATAAATCAATTTGTTGTTATGAAAGGAAAGTAGGTTAATGCTTGTCGGACCCAAGTTCGCCATCTCCCATTGCAAATCATGGACGGAAGAAGAGCAAAAGTAGAGCAGGGTATAGATTACTCTGCGATAGCCCGGTGAGGTTCGATGGAATACATTAAGTTGTTACACGAAATTCGAAGCATTTTTATTTTGTTTATAAATTTCTTGAAAATTGACAAAACAACGTTACAATCTTACAAACACACAAATTATTTTCTATGTTGTGATCCTGTACTATAGAATTCAGTTATCTTCCCACACCTTAAAATTTGCTGTTCACAAATGACTATTATTATCTTATTATTGTATAACTATATTGTCATGATTTGATATATTGTCCATGATTTTCCCTAAGACGCCATTAATTGCCGTCATATTATTACAATACCATAAGTTTAAACCGTGCGTCATTGTGACTGTATACGGATGCTTAAATATATTGTTATAACGCATTACGCGATCTACCACCACACTAACTTCATGACCTATTTGATCCCAGGGTCCTTTTAGCGATGTGAGAACATTTGTTGGTATAATGGTTTGAAAAGGAAAAATTTATTAATGGTAATACCATTTGAGTTCCACCACTTTGTCCGTAGATATACCGTTACTGTAGTATATTTCAGAGGCGGAAAAAGTTTCAATAGTCTTCTGACGTTTCCCATGAGTATCTTGCTTCGTTATATTCTGAATCCAACGTACTTCAGCAAAGCCGCTTGCTGCTATAATAATACCTAAGAGACAGAAAGCATAGATTAAATTCTATTATCTGGCATATTTTAGAACGATTAGTGTGTTTTGGGCTCGTAAGGTAGTGTTGTATTATATATTTTTTAGTGATTAATATAATTGCAATCAAACTCTTTATATTTTGTAGTTGGTTCGCCGTCTTTTTCCTTAGATTTAATTATGAATCAGTTGACTAATCCCGTTGCGTGTGATAGCTCATATATCTTTGAATCAGGGAGTAATCTTTCTGAACAGATAATGATAGCGCATGTAAACTGCTAGAGTTATAAGCCTTCTTTACACTCCACGAAATCTGATGCATTCATGGCTATGGTTGGGGACAAATTTGACCTCACACACATAGGATAAAAATAAAAGGAAACAAAACCCTTTGCCTAAGTAAACATATTGTAAGCACAGACGGTTAATATTTTACAAAAGCATAGGCATACAAACAAGCATACCAATAAGATAAACATAAGTTATACATGAAGGATTTGGAAAAAATCATGCATTGGCGTGGCAAACCATACATAGCAGGTAGTATTATCACTAAGGAAAGTATCTTCATACATGTCGGAGCTGGGGTTGTAACATAGAGAGAGGCAAACACGTTGAAGCCAACGTAACATACGTAACACTAAATGTGTGAGAATATTGGCGGTGATTGCGACTATAAAAGAGCTGTGTCAAAGCAGTCAAAGAGGTAACAGATCTCTAACGAAATATTCCTTTGTGTTTGACTTTACAGACAGGGATTTTTTTTTTGACATACCGATGGGGAATGGCAAGCTCAGCTTTATCGTTATCTCCGAGCAACTGATGGAACCACTCTCCTCGATGACATTTCGAACGGTTAGAGACAATAAAAGCAAATAGAATACAGATAGCAACGGACGAGTGGCCCTATTGTCCCAGGTTAGCTACTATAAAATCTCATGCACATTTTTATAGAATTTCTTTCGAAACTCGGTACGGACGAAACGGGGAAAAGAATATCGAAGAAAAGGACTGAACAGCTGGCTCGCGAATCATCACGCTGGCTTTTCTTTTCCGTCCACACAAATCTCTAATCGCGCTGTGAGGAACTTTTCGACACACCAACTTGATGAAATCTTATGAATTCTGATACCCTTAAAAAGAAAACAAATAAAAACGATTTCTATTGCGAATACGCTTTGTCACTTTGATTAGAACGAGAAAAGAAAAACACAAAAAAATTAAGTTCTACATTGTGATTCTTTCACAAATTAAGTTATACATTGTGATTGTTTCCACAAATTAAGTTCTGCCTGTGGCAAGCATCCGATTGACAAGACCTATATTTATATACGACTATTTTTGGACCATGCCCTATATAAGGGTTAAACTTATACTACATTAAACTGCGTTTTGGGCCAGCTTCCCCGTAAATACGCACGTGACAAACGTGCTTTTATATAAAAACAAGATATAACAAGATTTGTGTTCTATAAGAAAAATAAGAATTATGTTAGACAACATGGTGTATCGTAGGGTCGACCTTGACCGACTATAATGTTCTTAGTTGTTTAGAAGTAGTTTAAAATGAAGTGCATTAGTTATAAAAAAAGTCCCCTTACCGTAATTCTCAGAAATACTAGAAAACATAATTTGATAAAAAAGAAAGTAGTGCATAAAAGAAACTAATTCCTACAAATAAATCTGAGCCAAAAACCGTTTTTAGGCAAGAATTGGATTAGCATCCAGTTTGAGCTGTATTTGGACTTCTTAGCCGCAACGAGATGGAAATCACGTAACAGATAATATATTAAAACTTTAGTTTCTAACAAAGCAAAACGTCAACCCGAGAAAGAGAAATATAAATTAGTATACGATAGACTGGCCATCAGTCACTTAATCACCGACCAATACAATTTCTAGGGCCCAACCAAAAGGTAAATATGTAAATGGTGTTATGTTATCCTTATTCGCCTCCCTAATTCGTTCGGGATCAAATTTGTTGGGATTTTTATAATATTGAGGATCTCGATGTGTACCAAGAGCTGGTATCTAAATAGCGTCACTTTTTCTAATTTCCAACTTTTGACCGGTTTTCAGCTCATAAGTTATATCATCGGGACACACCCGATCCATTGCAGGGGCAACACTCCATTTGCGTAATGTCTCGGAAACTACCATATGCATGTAATACATATTCAGTATTACATCGTAAGTTAAGGGTTTGCCATCCAAATTTGGATCGACATCCTAAATTTCTTGTAAGAATTTTTCTCGAACATCGGGATTTTCCATCACCTCATGGGCAATCAAACATAGTAACGAGGCAGCTGTCTCGAAACCAGCAAAGAAAAATAAAAAGCATTGCCCCACTCGTTGTTATGTGATTTCAAGTTGTCATTTTTTAACATGCCTCTTGCCTCCATTAGCATATTAATCATATCTGGCCTTATAGTATGACTTTCTTTACGATATTTCATCCAAGACTAAATGCATAAAGTATTCCGTTGACGTCTTATTAAATAGCTCGATCCCTAAAAATAGAAAGCTTGTTGCATAAACCTTTTAACATAAATCTTACAAGATTTAAAAAAATACCTTGATTAATTTCCCTGTGTGCACATATAGAAGAAATTTTAAATATTGTTTGATATTTTCTGTCTCCCCTTCGCATTTTTATGACAACTTGTTTCTTTCAATTCGTTGTGTTCGGCGTAGCGGGTTTCTCGCGGCGAGCACTTTGCGCCATTTGATTTAGCACAGGCTCTTATGGGCCGTTTAATGCCCGGCGTTGTTGTTGCCTTCTCGTTTTTCGTATGTTTTTGAGCTTCTATGGTTGTTTGCTTTTTCTTACCGATGTTGTATGTGTGGATGCGTTTACATGCAATTTATGCAAAGTGCATTCCATCCCTTATTTCGATGAATTGCGTGTTATTTGTTTTAATATTTTTTTTTTTTCTGAATATTGTCTTTTGTTTGTCCAATGCTGTTTTTTGTTTCTTTTGCATACTTTAATATGAAAAGTTTATTTTTGTTTAATGGTGATATCGACTTTTCTTTCGTGTGTGTTTTTTATCACTGCACTTCACTCTCGTTTTGGAAAGTGAAGCGTCCCTGCTCGGGCGGCACTTGTGAGGTCGTTCGACCCATTCCCTAAGGCTGCGGCAGCTCAGGGAAGGAGACACAAGAAATTTATATTCACAATGACCCTTCATTTATTCCATAATTATTCCTTCACTTTATTTTATAATTAACTTAATTAAACTGCCTGTCTATACACGACATCGCTACTCGAGAGTATAGTCTCAAACAGGACTCACTGAGGGTCTACTCTCGACTCTAAAACACGACTGACTCACCTCAAACTAAAACTAGCCTATTCTACCCTAGCCTATTTTTATTCTATTTCTATCTTATCTTAATCTATTCTTATTCCATTCCTATCCTATCTTAACCAAGCAATCCCTTCCCGTGGGTTTGGGTTTGTATTAAATTTCCTTATGCATCAATATTTTTAGGTTACTGTTGATTACTTGCTTATTTGATTGCATAGTTATACGTGTTAAAAAAAATAAAAAGGAAAGAAGGGAAAAAAATGATGAATGATGGTTAACCAACCAGTCTGCAGGTACCGCTGAGCCGGGGTTTAAGTTGATATGCACAGTTGGATTGATAGCATCTATGTTTAGTGAATATCAATAATAATAGTCATGATTGACTTTTGTATTATTATTGTTATTATTATTATTATTATTATTATTATTATAAATTTAGACTAATGAAGTAAATTCTTAGACTAAAAAAAAAGACATTGAGCACTAGCAACACAGGCTATCGGCTCTAATTTTAATAAATGTACATTAGATAATGAGCTTAGTAGTATTAATAAAGTAATATGTAGAATTGATATTCGGTTCTGAAGCTGATTTTAAAATGTTCAAAGGGTTAATCGTTCCAAATGCAATACTTCCAGCCAAGGAAAAGTTAAGGCAGTCGCAGAGAATGTGCTTTATAGTGAGAGTTTGTCCACAGCGAATTCTTGAAAATGTTTTGATCTTGGTTTTCGCAACATTTGTTGGATATAAAGGTGGAGTTAATTGAGGGTTAATGGAAGAGTAGTGTTAATGATGATACTGTAAATTTCCTTCTGAAATTTTCTCTTTCACTTTTCTTCCAATGTATCTTTGAAGATCCAACTTTTCCTTGACATCATCCACAACTAGAGGAGCAGAAGCAGCATACTTCGCCGCTCGATCAGCCCGCTCATTTCCCAATAAACCGATGTGACTTGGTACCCATAACATTTTAATTTTTCCGTCGTTTTTTTAGACGTTTTATGGAAATTTTAGCCCCTGACGAGTTTGATATCCCTCGTCCAATAGATTCGAGGATGTTGATTGCCTTTGTGCTATCTTTTCCTTTTGTAAAAATGTATACAACGTCTGCGTAGAGACAATGTTCCACTCTTGGTACCCGGCAAAGAATTTTGCTAATTTCATAGGAGGCGATCTGGAAAAGCGTGA